TTACGGTTGCTTGACCGTAGAAAATATTCATTTTTATGATATTCTTATTCAATTAGCCTTGAATATATCAAAATTTCCTGAATATCGTGACTAATTGAACTGATGTCTTTATTTTCACGTGACGTCATCATTAAAAAAAGAAAAAAATACGCAATGAATTATGCATACAGCTTTCTTAAGTCATTATTTTGATGGCAAGTTGTTCTGCAGACGTTTGAATTGCAATTCTCGTCACATAACAAACTAACAATATTCTAAAAAATGGAAATTAATATTGAAAAATTTGTCTTCTGTTTTAGAACTACTATTTTTGTGAAACGGTGCAAAAAGCCAAAAGGAAAATGAAACCTTGCAAAAAAACTAAAACTTAAGTTTTTATGGATATTGTGATGTGAATGTCTCGTAGATTTTATGACGTAATCGTTCTTTCCTCTACGTCACTCATTATCGCGTTTCCACTAAGCCATTTCGTTTGTTTATTTATATCGGGCGCGCTATTTGTTCACTCGTCACCTGAAATAGCCCTTCCGTTCGTTACTAACCGTTTAATGGAGTTGAGCGAAGTTTTGCGATGTTGGGAAAAGGTGATTATCTTTTTCACTAAACTGTTTAGGACAATGTGGAGGTAGAGGGAACTTGTTGGGGAATTTGCTTTTTGTTTACTTTGTTGTAAACTTTTATACAAGAGCAAACTTTATTACACCACTGATGCCAGATTTTTTAAGTGCTTAATAACATTGTGAGAACGTGGCTATCCTTAGATGGCAAGTTTAAGAAATAATCGTGTTTGTCTGAAATTTTTCTCCCATGTGAACAAATCAGAGCAGATTTTGTCAGCAAATCCACCGTGCTACTGAAAATGTTTGTAAAACTGTTATAAATTGGTCTTTGAAATTAGAAAAATCAATGTCGAGCCTCAAATTGTCAAGAAATGAGAACACTAAGCCACTGTTGAAGCATCGACTATGGTTAAAGTTATCTTGTTTGTATAAAAGAAAGAATGTAAATAACAACAGAGGGCACAAATCTTCAAATGGTTGCTCACGGTCGTTTAGTGATGGAGTTAACTGAACAAGAACCCCCAAATATTGTGAATGTAACCAGAAAATAGATGAAATGACGGGAAAGAAATGCGCATTGATACTACACTCATATTTTTATAAGAACACGAGCCTCAAAATTGGTCAAAAGGTAAGAACAAATTAAGAACAAGCTGAGGCTGAGCTACTGTAGAATGAAATTTTGAACAACGTTTTATCTCAAAAACGAGGATTTTTTGCCATATTTTGGTGCTTTTTCGGTGAATATTCAAACATGGCGGCAAATGAAGGTTGTCTCACGCACTTTGTTGGCAAAAGAGGCCTGAACACCTCCCCAGAACGAAAAGCTAGAAATCGCACTGCTTATACCCTATAAATTAAGAACAAATTAAGAATAATCCAGCCTCAGATTTTCGAAAAAATTAAGAACAATCAGCCTAAGCTCAAATTTACTGGTTCTTATAAAAAAAGAGTGTAGTGTTCAAGGGTTAAGAGACAGAAAGTAGTACAGCCTGGTCTAAAGGGGATCCATCGTTCTTAAATATTTAGGGCCTACATGTCTTGAACAATTTTCTGTTTTTCTAGTTGTATGATACCCGTTAAGCAGGGGCGCCCAGAGCCACTCCGGGTCCAGGGGCATGCCCAGTTCTTTGGCCCCTTCCTACCCAAAGGAATAAACCTAAGATGCATTTAATATAAATTTAAGATGCGTTTAATTGTCTTTATTTACTTTTAATCTTTATTCGTAAAGCATTGTTAGACTTTTCAAGTACAGATATGATTTGTTTCCTTTCGATTAATATTTTAATAAGAGTAATTTAAGGATAATGCAAGGCCCAAGCTTTATGAAGAATATGTATTGAAATAGACGTATCCTCCCTTCAAGTCATTTACACTATGATGCGACTCAGTCTCACCTTGAGAATAACTTTACAAAAATCTTTGGCTCAAAGTAAGTCAAATTAAGAATGTCGAGGCTCAGCAAAATATTGGGTATTCTTATAAAATGTGTGTATCGATTCTTAATGTGCGTTCGATGTTTGTTTTGTAGAATGCGCCAAGCACCTTCGCGATCAATGCATTCCCGAAATTTTGAAAGCAAATGAAACATGTGGTATCGAGCAGCTTGTCAGCTGTCTTGAAAGGGAAATCAATTTGACAGCAAGCTGTGGTCAGTGTAAAGCAACACGTAACCAAATGATGTCGTACATGAATACCATCAAATCTGATTTTCTACATGGGAATAGCTGCCCCAATGAAGATGATGTTGATATGTTGATCAAGACTCTTACAAATCCAGGTAACCATAGAGTAATCAATTAATGGTGATTGGAGGGTGATAAGTTTTAATATAATTATAGTACCATTTATAGAGATAAATATCTCTAAATATCTCTTTAGAAATATCTCTAACTTGTGAAATCTTGGATCAAATCCAAACTCAAAGATGAACAGTAAAAGTAAAATTATTTTCTAAACTGCTATAGTTAATATTCAATTAATTAGCACGTCGGTATAGAAACATAAATTTAGTTTTCATATTAATTTTAATGTGTTTCGAGTCGAAAAGAATTAAAAAATACACGAAATTACTATGCAATTTACAAGAAATTTTGTCACTTATTTTTATAATATGGTAGAGCCTTCAGACAATCCTGAAATTTTAACGAAAAGTTGTAAAAGCAGCATTTAGCAGCTCGTGATATTATAAATTTGCAAGCAATGACTTTCGAAAACAAATATTTTGAACCATAGCCACTTTTAAATATTATGATTTTGCTCTTGAAGCTCGGTGTATATCTGCCCCAAGCCAGATTTGTTGTCTTTCTTGATTTTAAAATCATTATATAATTATTGTAGACCCTTACGATGATTCGTACGATGGTTGGTACGATGATTGGGATAGTGAAGACACATACTATGAAGAACACCCAGATGATAGTTTCGATGAAAAGGACCCAAACGATGAAAATGACACCAAAAGTCTTTTCAGCTCGTTTAAAAGCAAACTTCACAACGTTATTGAAAAGATATTTGGCAATGAAAGCTATGAAGAGGAAAAAGAGATTCCTGAAGATAAGAAAGGAGGCGTCAATACAACTGATGCTGAAGGTGATGACTGGTTGCCGTTTGATTGGCTCACATTTGGTGAAGACTGGTTCTGGGAAAATAACTCCACGGTGATTGGTAATGCGACTTACAACGTGACTAGCGAAGAGGAAGAGGAGGTCTTGGAATTAACTGACGATGAATCAGATGGCCTTCTATATGATATCTTTGGCATGTTAGAACATGATGATGAAGTCTGGGAGGAGTGGGAAGAAGATAACCTTGACGATGTAGGTGATTGGGATTACGATGTAGGCGATGGGGACTACCTTGAAGAAGATGGGGACTATGATGATGAAGATGGGGGCTACCATGATGAAGATGGGAGCCATCATGAAAAAGATGGGGGTCATTATGAAAAAGATGGGGGCCATCATGAAGAAGATGGGTACCTCGACGAGGGTGATCATCACGAAGATGGAGATTACCATGAAGTTGATTACCATGAAGGTGATTACCATGAAGGAGATTACCATGAAGGTGATTACCATGAAGGTGATAACCATGAAGGTGATAACCATGAAGGGGATTACTCCGAAGGTGCTTACGAGACGGATGGCAGCCTTGATCTTGATGCCTTTGGCGAGGAATATGCCCCCAAGGGCACACTCGATGGCACCGGCTATGGTGAAGAGACAACTGATTCTTATGGCACAGAAAGTCTTTGAGATGACCATTATAAGTCGCTTGATGGGGCTTTTGATGGTGGACTCTTCAATTCTTGGTTTAAACGTTGAAGAACACAAGTTTATTGACTATTTTTATAAACCATCTGTAGATAATGATTCATGTTTTTTAAACAATACATTTTCTTTTTGTTTAACTTTTTTGTCGGTTTAATTCCCGTCAGATCCTTTGTCATACTGCCTAATAGCAACATTGCAAACAAAACCTGGCCTTTTTCTGAAAATTGGCCCACAGCTTAGTCAGCTGTTCAATATGCCGTGGTGTTTCCATGATAGAATGCACACTGGAACCTTCTTCTTCACTTTCCTGTTGGTATTGTGTGTACCAAAATCTGCACTACTTTCTTCTAGATATTATCATATCGAATAGAACTTTTGATATTAAGAATTATTAAAAGACATATCTTCTTCAATACAAGGATGAATGTTTAATCATTTATAAACAAAAAACCAACGTCAATACCGTAGACCGTGCTTAAGGTTGAACTAAACTTGTTGAATTTTTCAGTTTCTTTTCAGCTTTTCAACTGATGTACTATTCTTACCATATTTCTGCTAATTCTTGTAGTTCTCTGCCTTCTTCGATATAGTTTCAATAGAAGCAAACTTTGATAATTAATGATATGTGTCTTTAAGGTGCATGTCTTCGGCGCTTTTTTTAAAAATTGTAAATTTTTGGATAATACGCTACAGAAAACGGTAAACCCTCTATTGGACCCTGCAGATTTCTTTATGATTTCTTATATTATAAGAGGATAGAGGATATGACGTCAAATATGATAAACCATTTCACTTATTTTTCTATTTCTGTGAGGCAAACTCTCAAAAGCATCTTTGTGACAAAAAAATGTTTAACCCTTAAAAAGTAAAAATCGAACCATTTGGGATGTAAAAGTTCAGTAAACCTCGGGGTGCGATATAGAAGATTTACCGTATTCAAGGCAGGCGTCCTATCCAAAAACTTCAGATGAAGCATCTATTCATTTTAAAACTATTCTTCCAATGCCTTCTGCTTGTTGTTCTATAAAAGACAGGCTTGCCATTTGCTACTTGTTTGCGAAGTAAAACCCTTTTTGCCCTTTGCTAATCCGCTGTGCTATAGCTTCAGAAAGCAATTATTTACAGCTCTTGGTGCCTTGAAATTAGCCTCATCTGAGACACCAACGTTTTTTTCCTCTATGTTCGAATTTTGTAAATAGCATTTTAATTTAATTAAAATTTTAGTTTTCATTTGCAAAATATATTGATAAAGAACAGGTTTTAGCATAGGTTTTTTGTCAAAAAGATACCGTTTGAAGGAACCTGTAACGGTCCATGGAATACCAGTTGCATCTTAAGTCATCTCGATATCGCTATCTGAAAACTGGGTTTGAGTATCTACTTGTGAAGAAGCCTTTTTAAGTAGTCTTTTCGTTTAATGATATTTCGAAGTCTCTGAGTAAGTTCTCAAGGACATTCATATCTAAATATTTCTAAACTCGATGAAGCTTTTTCAACAAGCTGATGTTTTTCACGTGATATGTTGATATCTTGCCTCTATAGGCTCAGAAATAAGATACGATTTCTTTGCCTCTAGAAAGTTCAAGATGTTTTTGACGTACCCTGGAGACATTCCCTGACACTCCTAGCAATGCAATACTGATGTGTGAATTTTTATGCAGTCTGAAATTGAACCAGAGATCGCCTTTACCTTCTAAATGCAGTGGTTTCAAAGAATAAATAAAATTTAGCATAAGTAAGATTGGTCACAAATTATGAAAATATCAGAATCTGTTATAACACCATCACAAAACACAAATTCGAAGCTTTTCAAGAATTACTAAACTTCCTCCCTTTCTCATCGAAATTTCTTATTTTTGACAGGATTTAAATCGGCAAGTTGTCAAGCAGTCATCGGCCTCGTTTCGAATACCTGAACTCGATCTGGAGTCAGAGGCTTTCAGCCAAAAAGGAGGTAAGAGTGCCTAGCACTGCAATAACTTGCAAGGTATTTTATTTTAACACTCTTTCTCATCAATCATTGTAGGTGCAATATATGGATTGTTTCAGTAGAACAGTCACGAAAATTGCTAGTTTTTTCTCCGAAAACTTTTATCAACCTTTGGAAACCTTTGTTAGAAAAAAGGACGGGCGTGGTTTTTGTTTAGCACTTCCATTTCTTTAGTTTTTTATCGGCCTTCTTAACAGTCATTGACAATATGACGACCATGTTTCCCGGACTCGCTTCAGTCGAATCTGATTTTTTGTTACCAGATTTTAACCGGAAGTATTCTAAATTTTACAAATTTCGGTAAATCATAGAATAGCATCATCCTAGCCATCACTTTTTCAGCTTAAGCTTTGTATTTTTTATTGTGTTTATGTACTTCTGGGTTCTGAATATTCTTTTTTAAAAATTCTTTTATGCAACGTATACTTTTTTCATAGCGTTAACGACTGTTGAAGGGGTTTTGCAGAATGTGATTGACGGGCTGGAACAGCAGCAGAAGATTCGAAAGGTAATACAATAAACATAAGGGGTTTATATTGTAGACATGATCGTCATGAACAGATCACTTTCATAAAGAGGAAGTAGGGTAGACCAAATCTGGCCGAATATGAATCGTGGTACATTTACATGGGAGCTTTGGAGTAGCTTTGAAGTTCAAAAGGATTCTCTGGAAAAATTGACTTCTTTTCTTAGTTTTTACTGTCTGTCTTCGACAATAGGCATATTTATGTTCCAAAATTGGTATCTACATTGTGATTTTGCTATGATTTCTGCAGCGTTAGAATCTCTTTTATTGTATTGCCTGGATAGGTTTCCAAGTTCAAATTTTGGCAAGAATGTATCCAAGTAACGCTCTTGAAAGGCATAGGGGACCTAGGTTGTGGGAGGGCGACAGCCCCCCTAATCAGACAAAATTTGGCTCCATTCGTACTGTTTTATCTCGATTGAGCAATAATATTCAGGCATGATCCATACCCTCTCTAAAAATTTAGCATCCGTTACGCTCGTGCATACAGTGGCAAACTTAACACTGTTAGGAAATTCAGATGTTTAACCCTCTTCACCGGTCAGTCGTGAAATGAAACCCCATCATTTACCATGAATGAAAGCAATGCCATGTTTGCTACAGCCGGTTGCAATCGTACCGTTTTCTAGCTCACGAATTATTTCACGACTTATTTTGTAGGTCACTGACAAAGAAACAGCAGCAAAAATTGAGGCGTTTATAGAGAAAGTGAAGGTATACCAACGCGGCGAGAAAGAGTTCACTTTGATCATAGAAGATATATCCGGTAATAGTTATGTTGAGAACCCGCATGCCCCTGGTAATGATCCGAATACGAAAACAGAACTTTTCAGTAGAACTACAGATCAGAACGAAAAACTTGGGTTTTTCGAAACGACACCAGAGGATCCAGAAGTCGAACAAGAATCTGAACCAAAACCAGAAGGTATGAATGCGAGCACCTATTGCAAATTTGAGCATGAATTAACGATTTTGCTATTGCATCAATGTATAATTTTTAATTGATACGAAAAAAGGGTAAAATACCTTTTCTGTAAGGCAAGTTCTGTTTGTGTCAGAATATTTGTTTCCGATAGGTCAAAACATTTGTTTCTCTTTTGTTGAAAATGAATAAGGAGTTCCACAGATCCGTGAAGGGTGCTGGCTTACATTCACGTGGCTGCGTTTTTTCTGTTAAAAGATATTCCTTATTTAGAGACATTCTTTTGGATTATATTTTCTATGTCAAAAAATTTGAAAAATGTAATTTTATGACGTCATCTATATAAACAAAAAATCACATTTCGCCAGATAGGGACAAAAACAATCTGAGGCCGTGTATTAATGAAAGCAATTTGTACGTATGTTTATATGTTGCTGGTAGTTTATATTTATGAAAAATGTTTGCACAGGACAAGATTTTTCAGGTCGTTTTCTCCGTCTCTCCCATTTTTGATATTATATTACCTATTCGTATTTGGTAAGGGGTTGTAATTTTCCATGTAGGTATTAAATGAATCTTTTCTTTGCTAGAATCACAACCGCTTGATTTGAAAGAGGAGGTACGATGTTATTTCTGTTTATACTTTGTGTGACTTTGTGATATATCTATGAAGTGAGACAAATGATTTGATAAGCAAGCAGGGTATTCATTCAAATTTGACGAGAGTACAGCCTAGATGGATTCTTATTGCACAAAAAGTAATACAACCAAGACTGTATATATTTTTAATTGCACAATACACTGAGGATACGAAAGCATTGCACAACTCCAAGCAATAATGCTGCCGCTGCTGCAGTATATTTTATCTAGCCGAAATCCTTTAACTTTCGAATAGTGCTAAATGTGTAGCCTATGTTCAAGACCCCTAACCAGACATCTACTTTCAACTTAGGGTTCTGGAACACAGGCTATAAATGTGTAGCTCAGATTTGTTTATAGCGCTGTTTACTCCTATATCAAATTGTGAAATGGTAGTCGCCATTACTCCTATATCAAATTGTGAAATGCTTCGTATCCTCATTGTATTGTTACATTGAAACATCTTTGATTGGTGTCGTAGCTGGATCGTAACAGGCAAAGCTGGAAATAAAATAAAATTATCACAATTTATTGCTTTTTAGGAAGGTTTTGAATCGTCTTTACCTGCGGTTTTTTTTGTTTCTTCCCCAGTCTCATCGTTTTCTTTCTTCTTTGTGAGAAAACTTGCAGCATTTGTATAAGGATGTAAGACATTCCCTTTGGGAATCAACGAGTGAAATAGAGGAATTAATTAAACTCCTTAACTATACTTAATTTTTGAACCACTATAAGGTAATTTGTGAAATTATCCTGTATCTTTACAGATAATTAAACCATTTAAGCATTTATGCATTGATTTATGCAATTGATTCTGCGTTCCCTTCTTGCAATTTGTTTCAGACATGTTGTTGTTCCAGGTGTTACAGTTTCCCTGCAACTGCCACAACTGCAACTCACCAGCAGTTACAAACATGAAAATTGTTCGTATCCTTTCCAATAAGCGATTTCAGGTGGCCAGCTTATGACCCAAGGTCACAATCGATAGCCTAAAGGCAGTGAAGGTTATTCAAAAAGCCTCAAATCCAAAAAGTGAAACTAAAATTACATAGTAAAGAATTTATAATCCACTGTTCCATACCTCTAATTTGTCTCTACTTCAAAGTTAGGGGTTTGGCCCGAGCACAGCCAAATAGCCTATTTGTTATGTTATTTTTTGGTGAATTTTTATTGAACGTTTACTACTGTCTAAAATCTCTGAGTGCCAAGAATTGCTAGGGAAAATACAGCTTTTGGAGGGTTTTTCGCGAAGACAACGAAGACATGAATGCGCTAGAATAAACTGTGTTCCGCCATATTTGGATACTGATTAAATATTTAGGTCTTGGTTGCCGGTTTACTTAACATTGCTTCTAAGTTTTGTTGACTTCATTAACTGCCCATGATCATGAGCGAAGAATTTCCTTAGCCTTTTGAAGAAATACCTCATTTCAAAGAAGTGATTATTATGGCTACCAATTGTGACAAATGCGGTTACCGAACGAACGAAGTTAAATCTGGAGGTAACGTATTTAGCATTCCGTGTGTTTGTTGGGATTCCTAAATATTACAGTTATTACCAATTTTTTTTGAAAAGTTGCTATTTTATTGTTTTGAAAATGAAGTGTCTAAGGTGAAGAAGCAAAGTTCTTTGTAAGATCTTATGAAAAATGCTGTAATTAAACCTTCACCAGGAAAACCGCGTATCAAGTGTATTCCAAAAATTTAAGTATATACTGTTTTCATCCTGGTTTTAATTTCTTTCCTAGCTTAAATTTCACACATTATACTTCGATGTAACTGCACATGACTGTTTTACGGAATATTAAATGTTCATTTTTCAGGCGGGGTGGAGCCATGTGGTGTGAAAATTACCTTAAAAATGACAGATGCTTCAGATCTGAACAGAGATGTGCTCAAGGTAATTATTCGTACTGAAACGGTGTCATTGGCAGCAGTTGCGTCCTTTGACCAGGGAGGGAACAAATATCGGACCACGGGAGCAATTGTCCCCGAAATTGTTTTGGGTCCCAAAAGAAAAAAATCAAAAAGTCCACTCCACAAAATCCAGAAAGGATGAATCCAAAAGGAATATAAGAAAAAGAAAATTGATAAATCAGTCAGCACTGATTAATCTGTCACAAAGACGCAGAAATATCCTTAACAGATATAAGACGTAATGTTTTAGCTTGAGCAAACTGCAATGATCAACAAAAAAGGGCTGCAGCAAAATTTGCCTAAAATTTATAGAATCAGTGGGAAGCGCAGTCAAAATTATTAATTCGGTTGCTCTGTACCAGATCAGCATACCATCTACTAGCAGCAGCTTACTCCAGAATAATATTTTCAAAAGTCAAAGGAAAGGACTACTGTCAATTTATATGGCAGTTGTCTGTGTGGCTAGTTTTTAGTACAGAAAATATTTGTTTTTTAACTGCGGTCCCAGTTAGAAACAACTTTTTCCACCCCTACCTTTGACCTTTTAAGGAGAAGGTTCAGTATAATTTTCTGAAAATTTTTCTCCAGTTTTACCCACAGTCAAGCTATTTAACAGACCAATTAAGAATTTGCTAGCCATTTTTGCGTTATATCACAATATACCATTATATCGTAATGTAGAGAGTTTAGGAGACTATTGAGAAAAGTAGCTTTTTTCATTCATATTTTGATGGGGGTCAGAATTTTAATTTTATCTAATTTTGTGTTTAGATTGAATTGAAAATAGTTTTGGAAATATAAAACAATATTCAAGTCAGCAGACGTGTCATGTGACAAGTTTTGGTGGCTCTTAACAACGTATTCAAATAAGCTTAGATCCAGCTTATGCAGCCCTTTAAGTTCACATTCTAGTAAATATACTTGAATGTATGTCGTAATGGCTAGTAAGGGCTATGAAATTTCTGCTGTTCCCAGTAACATCATTAGAGCTTTCTTTACTTAGTCTGAAACATGCCAAGTGATGATTCCTGAGTTGGACTTTGAAGTTGGTTCCGGGTCGATTGGTGGACGGTTTACGACAGTCGAAGGTTTGCTGACGTCAATAAAAGAACAGGTTAGTTTTAAAGTATGAAGGAACTAGGTCCCGAGCAATTTCGGTTGTCACCTGATTTCTGATTTCTGATAGATTGTACAATAGGCTATTGTTTCTTGTTCCAATCGTCGCTCGGAGAGGAAAGAGCCAATTTGATTTGTTCTTTTAATTAAAATTTTTGTCTTTGCTAGCTCTCTCTGTTTGCGGTACTTTTTGGTGCTTTCTCTTGATTTATTTAGATAGCTTAACTTACAAAATAATATATTAAAAACCTAACGACAAAACAAGAAGGTTCCATCTATTTTAGCATGTGCAGGACTAAGGCTAGTATGCAAAGCTAAAACCATGTGTGTGACTGTGTCATAAGTAAAGTAAATGCAGTATTAAAGTTCCCAAGTTCGTATCCAATATTTGATATCAGAAAATTTGAATATAAAATTTATTAATAATTTTTCCAACCTATTCTAGTTTTTGTTTGCTTTATTTTGAGAGCTATCTTTTTTTAAATATTTTATTATTATATTTTTTTTCTTAAGAAAAAATTGAAGTTCTTTTTTTTTAATTTCTTGAAAGCCTTTTTCTCTCATCATGGCTCAGTTTTAATTTCGATAAATGTCATAATTCTTTGTTTGCTCTTTTATCAGCTAGAGACATCATGTCCTTTCTTCACTGGTGATAGTGCTGTTTCAGATAGCAAACAACAAATGAAAGAATTTGTCGGAAAACTAGACCAGGTTTGTATTGTATCCGGAATCTCTTTCCGCTTGGAAAATCCTTCTTGAGTGAAAGTTCTTTTAAATAGAGTGTTAATTTTTATTCCATGTACTAAGTATTTCCCCTTGAAAAATGTGAACAGTTTTTTGGCGGTACATAACTTGAAAATGGCTCTGAAAAAAGCAAAAACTTTAAAGAGTATTGGCTAAAAGTATTTTCGTCTGACACCCCTCAGAGCATAAAACGTCAGAATGAGGGTCCGAAAGAACACAATGAAGAAATTTACCCAGTTGTGGATCAAAATAGGCCAATCAGAAAAACGCAAGCAGAAGACCGATATAGTTGACCAATCAGTGCCGCGTGCAAAATGAAAATTTACCACTGGAGTCCAAGAGAGAAAACAAACTCCTTCTGTCTACACAATGGCGGCTTTTTCGTTTGTATGTATGTAGATCGATTCTAAAACTGCTAGATGGAAAGACGACCGGGCTCTGCCAATTATTCGAAACATATCGTCATTATAGAGTTTAGCACAATCTGGGTTGTCTAAAAGATGCTGACCGATGGCAGAATCGCTTGTTTTAACAGTGTTACTAGACCTACAAGATCGAAGAGGCTGTTCTCTTCGAGGGGCAGTTTTGTTTCTTATGATGGAAGGACGTGTTTTATCCTATCCCCCACTCTAAGTATTATAACCCTAAATATTCGAGTTCAAATAATTTTTGCTCCGTTCTTCTGTTGTGCGTTTATTTCGCACTTTTGAAATTACGCTTCTAGCCTCATAACACTAACTCTTACCACTAACCGGTTCACTTGGTTAACAAAGGGCTCTGTGCAACATTGTTCTCCATCTTAGTAAATTTTGTAGGCAATTCAAGGAAACTGGCAAAATTGAAAACAAGCGGGTAATTAGCCTCGATGCGTATAAGGCACCTTGAAGAAATGAGCTTTGAAAAAAACCGGCCTGTTAAAGATCTTTTATTGCTGCATCTTGAGCACATGTGTAGGTTTCTTATAATAAGTTAACACGATGGTGGAGAGTTCAAACAATGCTTGTAATGTGCGAACAATAGATATAAACAAAGGCTCTAAAGAGTGTATTATGGGAAAGTGAAGATCTTATGATCCCCATCGTGAGTCAACTTATTTGCTTTTGAATAACTTTGATTTTTATTAAGATCATTTCACTGGCGAAAGCTGATGTAGTGTTTATATTTATGGACCATTCCTTGAACTCTTGCATATTATTTGAGTTCCTCGGCTTCGTAGATCGTTGTAAGGGTTTTTGTTTTTTAACCAGAAAGATTTTTCTCCAATTCTCGTCGAAGGTTAACATTTATTTCATTCAGGAGGCTTTGATAAAAATGTAGATTAAACCTGCCGAGCTCGTTCCTCGCACGTTGCGCTTCTCTTGACTCGTTTCTTGGTGAGCAGACAGTTTTGGGCAGAACTTCTAGAATTGCCCCTTTTAAGCTGTTTCCTTGTAAGCAATTGTTCTAGAATAGCCTTTTTTATCTGTACCAATTGTTTGGTACAAGTGTCTTTGATCTTGCTTTTGAAGTTCCCTTGCGCACAATTTTAATCAGTTTACTGTTTATTTTCTTTGTGCTATCTTATTACACAAAATAAGTCACCCTTTTGATCCAAGTTTTTCTGTTTGACAAAATTAGCAGCAAGTATGCTCTTTTTTTAGATTTTTTCAATAAGATCTTCTCATTCTCATCCCATTTCTGTCAAAAATTTGTCCCTTATTTCCCATTTGAAATCACCAAGCAAGAAAACCTGGATCGTTGCGTTTGTTTCCAACAAGCCTTCCAATTCTTGGTGGACTCTTTTCTAATGCCTTTGTCATAGTTGGTTTTCACAGTTGAGTTAGAGCACATGCTCCACAAAAGTTCCAGATTTCTCGTCTCATTTTTGTGCTTAGCTGGTTCTTGATTTTGGCTAAGACAAGACAACGAATTAAGTAGTAAGGTGTGTAATAATTGCCACAAAAATTCATTCTTTTGGTAATAATTAGTTGAATGCTCATAATGAAATTCCTACTAAAATAAACGAAGTCTTTTGATAATGTCTTCTGGACGTCAACAATTATTTTATAAGCAACCCATCCCCGTATAAGCCCCCCTTTAAATTAACCTTTCCCCTAATTACGTCATGGCGCAATGGATTTTGGTGCTTGTAGTTTAACCTGCGAAGGCTTGTTCATGTTTTGTACGGCGATCGGACGAAGTTCTGTTATCATTTAACGCTCTTTCTATCTATCTAAAGCATATGTGAATTTAAATTCATAATTTAAAAAATATCTTATTAGAAATCTTGTTGGAAAGATGCATGATACCAGCCAATCAAATGCCTTTAAATAGTGCCTCTTTGCTCCTTGTGTTCCGTGAATGAAAGACGTTAATGGCTTCCTTTCACGACGAGGTTTCTCTTAATTAGAAAATAACGTGGGTAGAGCGGAACTGCGTGATTGTTGACGCAATCCAAAGAAACAAAAGGGTCCTATTAGTAATAAAAAGTTATTCAAAACACCTACGTTGACCATCAAAGGGGGGTCATCATTTTTCACTTTCTCGTGACTCGCTCTTTAGGGTCTTTGTTAAAAGATTTTTCGGTATGTGCAGCCTCCCCCGGTAAGATACAGAGCGTTGCCTGTATTTACTTCTGTTAGAGTAATGCAGCACGAGCATATTTTGACGTATTTCTATCTAGCATGACGCTGTGTTTTTCGCAGCTGTTGTAACCTGGTGTTATCAACAAACTGCTCCTGGCTTCCAAAATATTATTAACAAACCGAAAGGCTGCAAACAAGCAGCTGAGAAACGCGAGATCCTGTGTTAAAGGCAAGAGTGTGTTGATGTTTCTTTCTGGAGGAAGGACGCAGACTAAGAAGCTTTTTGGTATTTCATCACAGCAGTTATACGCATTGCAACGTGCCTGCTGAAGCTTGGTATTTTTGCTGCCAAATTTATCACGTAAGAAATTTTCAGCGAGGCAAGAAGAAGACCGAGGAATTGTCATATTCTTCTTCCTTCTTAAACCGCTTCTTGTGGAAACAGATAGCAACAAGATCAACTTGTTTTGAAAATGACCATGACCAATAGTACTCACTTTCCTCTTTCCTTAAACCTCTCTTCGACGCCAACATTGCCTGTTACTACTGTTAAATTTCCTTTTGGAGATAAACCGTACCCTCCTGTAATCAAGAAAATCGGTTTTTCGATACTCCCAGCCATAATTGTGACCTCAGTGATTGGGAATTCATTGGTTATACACCTGACACACAAGTATGCATTGCTTAAAGGCGTAATGAAAGCATTTGTTATAAACATTGCTGTGTGCAACATTTTACTGTGTTTCTTCCCGCTCCTCTATCTTTTTGAGCTAGGAACGGGCGATTGGTATTTTGGCAGCATTGGTTGTGACATTTTGGTTGTTTTCGAGTACGCTGTTCTGACGTCAGCAAACTTGTCCCTTGTTCACATCGCTCTCGAACGTCTTTGCGCCATTGTAAAGCCATTCAAAGTGAAGGTGGATCGAAAAAACGGTACATTTATGTTAATATTTTCGTGGCTAATCGGGTTTCCACTGGCGATACCGTTTGTAATTCTTCAACCGCGCTATACCGACGATGACCATCCAGATGCTGCTGCGCAGCCTGAATGCAACAATATGTGGGCAGTGACGACTGTTGGAATGTCCCGAGGTTCTTTGATTTACTATTGTGCTATGTTTGTTCTTTTGTACATCGTTCCGAGTATTATAGTAACAATGTGCTACACAAAGATTATTTACGTACTCATAAAGAAGATAAAGAGGCCTGGGCATCAAACCAAGGAAAGCAAACGTCAAGAGCAACGGAGGAAGCTGCGCACCGTAAAGCTATTGTTAATAACTGTTGCAATTTTCAAACTCTTCTGGCTACCATCCTATGTCCAAGAATTCCTATTAGCAGGAGGAGTTGAGAACGTAGATGAAAATTTAAAAATTCAAATTATCAATTTAGTCTGTGCCTCACTGGGCTATTTGTACTGTGCGGTGACACCCTTTCTATACTTCCTCTACAACGAGCAGTATCGAAATTCATTGTGGCAAATGGGACGGTCCGTTGCTGCCTTGTCTAGGGGGTCATCATCAAGCAAGAATGCATATTCATTGAAGATATTTAGTACTCCAGGTACTAAACGGAAAAACGATAATGTTCAAGAGCTGGGAATTGTCAACAAGGGGGTGGAAGATAAAGTTACAAACTGATATTGGACCTTTTTTTAATCAAAGCTGCGGACACTTGCAATTCATTAGATTTAGGCCAGGTATTTTTTACAAACAAACAAATTTCCATTTTCATTTATTAATCAAACATTAAAAGTAATTTATGTTGAAGAAACATTGTAAGTAACTATGATGCCTTTGGCTTTCAGTTTGTGCTTTCAAGATCCTCTGTTCTCAGAGAGCTCTCCTATCTTGTTTCCCGTCTCAAATGTGAACTAACATATAATGATTTCCAATCGCCTTTTCGATGCCTGTAACACAGTTTTTTGTACGGCAACTGCATCGTGGGATATTATGAGTAGCATAGGACTTTTCAAGGGTTTTTCTAAACTAATGGAGGCTTCTGAATGAAAGTTGTCCCAATTTTCCCCCTTGTATTAGAAACAAGAAAATGGATTATATGGAGTTGATGAAAACATTTAGGATTTGAAACAAGAACAATTTAAGCAGTATATATATATAATTAGAAGGACAAATCAAATGAAATCAGATTTCAGTCAAGATGCTAGCAATCAAGTAACGAGGTAATTGTATAGTTTATTGAACTCTAAATTTAATATAACGTTATTTAGTTCTAACTAACAATGGTCCACATAAGCTGTACAGCTGCCTTAGATGAAACCTGTTATATCAAAATGTGTACTGTATATATTATTTGGTAAACTTTTTAGTTTCAAACAATATTCTATGTCATGCTGTCGATAATCTTTAACTCGACTCTCGTTGTTTTGTTTTGTTCATGGCTAGTCTATCATCTGCCATTTGAGATTCTTTTTAGTAAAACCTGTTTTTTGAAACTCCGTTATTTCATCGATTTCATTTTAATCGGAATGACACTGAACCCAGAAAACCTTTGCTTAGCCGGTGATTTGTATCAGTATACGTAGAGATCAAAGTGTTTATTTTTTTATTTCATTCAGATTTTACTGCAGTATATCTCCACCACTTTCTTGCATTATAGTAAAAGATTCTTTACTAGTGTAACGAGTTACTGGCCATGGTGGAAAGATGATTTTGATTCTATATTCTTGACCTGTTTTTTATCAAAGATATTTTGAAAATTAAGTTTATGCAATAAAAACAAATATAACGGATTTTTGACAACTGAAACTTTTACTTGCCTAGTACCTCGACGAAGCCGCAGCAATAAAATATTTTTAAAAATCTTAAAAAGGCGTTTACCAAAAATATTTTTAACTTCGACCTTCGAAATCAATACAGCAAGCTGACACTGTATGCTTACCTCTTAAAGTTATGCCAATTTTCGAAAATATTTGTTTTTTTATCGCCCTTGCTATCTCCCGTACTGAGCCCTTATGCGAGATCGTTTTTTGCCAGTGTTTTTTCTTTTGACTTTACCTCTCTCCAGAAAAGACAAATTATCTCTAGTTAGACATTTAGCGCCTTCAGTGCTTCTATTTTATTGGGTGATGTCCGAAAATACGAAGGCCAGACCCAATCTTTGGCTGTGTCAAAAACTCTATAAAGTGGCTTTGAAAAAGGCAAACATTTTATAACATACACTTATTGAGCAAAAGTATTGCACAGGCTGAAACAGAAATGGCGCCATTGCAGCAAAAAGTTTTAGCTAACCAAAATTCAAATGGCCACAGAAGGTTTATAAAAGTTAAAAGATGACTTTTAGTTGGGAAATTATGGAAAATGTATTAAGATTTGATACTGAAAATAGAAAATGCAAGAATATTTTTGATTTTTGCCTTTTCTAAACAATATCGACATTTGCAATAACACGTAAATTGAGAGATGATGATTGAAGTACCTGTGAAAAATTTGCAATAAAAAAGTTCATCTTTGCATCAATTTGTGAGGTATTATAACTCGAGGATACTTTCTTTACGCTTTAGTGTCTAGAACTGTTCATTTTCCTCACTCTTGTTGGAGAATATGCTAAACTTTTTGTTCGGAGATTTTTGGAGGTGCAATGGGCAAAATGGCAGCGGCCACTTCGTGATTTATTGCATCAGAATTCACTCAATAAAATGTGTCACAAATCGTCAAGCCCATCATTTCCAACCATTTGCGATGTTGGTAAGGGAACAAAAAATGCTGCAAATTGTTTGAAACAACATCTCGTTTTCTCATTTAATTTTCAAAGCCAAAATTCCTGCGATAAACAGGTACACTCAAGTGCCCCAAAAACTGCGAAAGAGTCGGCATAATAAAATGGCTTAAAATATGCCACTTTCCACCAAATACAAGGTCAATAATGTCCAACTTGGTACTCCAACGACTAAATTTGATCTTGCAAATGTTTTTCTGAATCTATCATTTCGCGATTAACAGTACACGATGAGTGGACAGAAGGAGTTCGTTTTTCTCTGACTCCAGTGGTAATTTTTCTTTAGACACGCGGCACTGATTGACAACGATTGGCCTTTTTCGTTCCACATTTGGGTATATATCTTTTATCGTGTTCTTTCGGACCCTTATATGCTCTGAGGAGTGACAGACGAAAAAGCTTTTAGCCAATATGTTGTAAAATGTTTGCTTTTTTAAAAGCCATTTTCAAGTTCTGTTCCGCCAAAGTGTTTACTTTATAAATGCATTCTTCTTGATGATTTTGTTCTTGGACAAATGAAAGGCAACACTTTCAATGATTCATTGCTGTTTTTCGTAGATCATACAAGGTGAAAACTTTGTAACAATTGTTCTAGATGATCCGGTGGGAAACAGTTACATCCAGGTAAGGAAAATACCATACCTTATTTATTCATTAGAAAAGCTCAAAAGAATGGCACACACCCAGTCTATCTCGTGATTACACTCTTTTTTTATAAGAACAATTTTATTCGAACACGAGACTCAAACTTGGTCAAAAGTTCAGAACAAATCAAGAACAAGCTGAGGCTGAGCTATTGTGAAATGTGATGTTGAAAAACGTTTTACTTCACAACCGGGATTTTTGTACCATTACTGACAAAAATGTTCAATAATTCATTGCTCTAGAAAACGTTACATGAAGATCTTTAATTAGGAGGCATAACTCCGCTATTTAAAAGTGATAAAACCACAGAAAAACGAAACTCTCACAGTGCTGTCCGCTTTATCAAAGATCTTTGAACGGCTTCTATATGCTTAGATGGTTGACGTCGCGGATACGTTCTCAGTTCCCTACTTATGTTGTTTTCGGAACGGTTTCAACACACAGCATGCGCTGTTGAGATTAATGGATATTTGTAAGAATTCCCTAGATAAAAAGGGGTGGTTGCTGCCTTGCTAATGGATCTCTCAAAAGCGTTTGATTGCATAGACCATGAGCTGTTAATTGCGAAATTAAATGCCTATGGTTATTGTAAAGATGCTCATTTGATGATTTATAATTACCTGTCCGTTAGAAAAGGTCATACAGCACTTGGCGAGAAACTTTTGCAGGTGTTCTACAAGGATCAGTCCTTGTGCCTCTTCTATTTGATCTATACATTACTGATTTCTTTTTCATGGTAACTGATACTGCAGTATGTAACTTTTCGCAGCTGACTGTCAATTAGATAAAGTTTTAGAACAGCTAGAAACTGATGCTTTTGTTTTATCAAAGTGGTTTCCAGCAAACTTTATGAAATTGAATGACGGGAAGATCTTCTAACTTTTGGAACAAACCAACACGATATTAAAATCAAAGTTGGAGAGGCCATTGTTGAAGAAAGCTCTGAAGAAAAACTGCTAGGGGTTAAAATAGATAAAATCTTAATTTCAAAGCCACGTGTCAAATTTATGCAAAAGAGCCAGCCATATAATCACGCTTATGTGATTATATTTTCATGAGGGACTTCAGTAAAGGTCCGCTTAACGCTGAAAAGTCTCATCTTTGTTCATCACTGACCTTGGTTATTTTGCTAGCTTGAATAGAAGTGTTTTGTTTTTATGTAAATCCTGCGATTGATGATATGTTTGCTTAAGTTGCACAAAAAGACAACATAAAAAGTTGTTTTTCTCAACTTCTTAATTATCTTACTATCTGCCAAACTATCTTACAACTGTGGAATTGAAAAATTAGAATGACTTATAATGGCCATTACTTTCTGATTTATTTGAGTCAAGTACACACACTTTTTGTGTCGTTGATGCAATCTATTTACCAATTTGTTTTGGTAACATTCTTTCGCTGTTCTTACCAATTTATCTGCAATGCTTTTTCATTTTTTGCAGAATGTATATGCTCCAGACCCCGACCCTGAAATGACAGTTGAAAAATACGAGAGAACATTTCAGCAAAACGAAGAATATGGTTTAAATGACATGAAAGTGTAAGGAAAACCGCGTCGCTTAATACGTATTACGTCTGCGACGTGCGGCATCATGATAATAATTCTGTTTCTTTTGAAATATATTCTTTGAAATCAATCCAGCCAATTATTATTTTACTTTTACCAAACTTTAGTGACCTTTTTAAATCTTAAAAGTTTTCCTGTCAAGGTATTGTGTGTGGCACTTCTTTATTCTTTTGTTGAAATAAGACCGTAGCCAAATGAGTATGCTTTCGTGGGTGAACTCAAATGAGTATGATTGGGCAGGTCTCGTGTAAACAGAATGCTTAAATGAACTCGAATGGATACAGATGTTTGTGTAACTAGTCTCATGTAAACGGAGTCTCTCATAAAGTAATCATGAACTGGGACTGTGGGGTCCCAGTATCCTGAGCCCCATTGGGGTCTGGAACTCAGGCTAGCCCCAGAGGAAAGCTATTTATGGCCGGAATTCTTTGGTTGACAGCTCCCAACGTATAATAGCGATATATATGATTACCAGATCTTCTTTGGCCAAAACCGGTGCACATTTCTGGGAAGAATCAGTAAAGGCTTTTGAATGTTTCAGATGTATGGAAATGGATGGCGAGACAGCAACTTCATAAGGTTTCTGTTGGGGCTATCAGAGTGGGTGATTATTCTTGTAAGCTTCTTAGCTATTACTCCTGTGAGCGTCAAAGACCTGAGGACGAATAGTTGAAAATGGACAGTCACACTATACGGAAACTTCTGAAACTATACGGAAGTTTCTTAGAAAAAAGGAAAGGAAATCTGAGGGCCTCCAAGGGGGCCTGTGTCTCCTTTTTCCTTTAACATTTTCAAATACAAGGCTTGTTTGGTTATATACCCAAACCTTCGATGACGTTTCACAGTATTGTTAGAGGAGGTACAGAATCCCCAAGAATGAACATGACCTTTTTACATTAGCTATAACTGCATAAATAGAAGCAAAGAAAATAGTCCTGCTTTCGATACCTGTTCCGCTTTTACTGGAAGGGTCCTCGATGCTCTTTCCTCGATCCATATTTGTATCTGACTTTTATATGTTTACTTCCAGATAATTCTGTGAAACACAAGGTACGATGTATACCCAGATGACAGCACTACTTTACTTTTGTCTAAAGATTTTATTCAACTAAAGAACGACCTGAATGATGATATTCGAAATTAGCTACAATATTTACAATATTACATTTAAGAGTAGTTTGTGTCTATCAGATAATAGAAATTAAGGCATACTGTGCATATGTCCTACATTTTCAAAATAGGTTTTGGTAGTGTAAAATTTGAAAATTTCTCAGAAAAACGAAAACGTTCTTTTTGCTCGACTGACCTAAGGGTATAAACAGCGGATAACGAAGGTGAGCAGGAATTTATACCGAGATTTGGATCAAAAGTAATGCAATTTTAGCGATCCAGCAAGGAAAAACGACCCGAGGATTAAGAGAATGCTACGTCTTTGGAATACTCACCTGGATCAAGGGAACTTGACTCACTTCCCAACTTTGCAGAAACAGCAGCCTGTCGATGTGTCCATGTATGCATCTTTCCTTGGTGACCTTCGCATGCAGTTTAATGATCGGTGTCAGTCAGTGCAGTGTCAACGCAAAAACTTCAAGCTGTTTACTGCACTATTTGAAATTGCCTCTGAAATTCTTCAAATGGAGTTGATCGAGCTGCAGGGTACCAGTGAATTGAAACTGAAAAACAAGGAAACTAATCTCACCCAGTTTTATAAAGATAATCTCTAGGATGGGTGTTTAAATCTAGGTCTGGTGACTAATGCCAAGAAGATGTATTGCATGTTTAGAAGTACTTATCTTTGCGAAAGTCTCTTCTCAAAGATGAAGTATGCGTCAAGAGTCGACTGCGATCTTGAATGACTGACTGATCAGCACCTTGAAGGCAACATGCGGCTGTCAACATCAACAATTTTGCCAAATATGGAGAAGTTGGCCAAGAACATGCAGCATCAACTTGCGTATTCAAGGCCCGCGCCACCGGGGGGGGGGGCGGGGGTCATGCTCCCCTTCACTTTTGCGAAGCAAGTAGTTTTAAAGCTGCAGTAACGTGTGTAAGAAGCCTTCGCCTCCTACTTTTTTAGCCTTAGCCCCCCACTTCCAAACTCATGGCGCAAGCCCTGGTATTAGCTTCTTGTAACAAACTGAACAGTGATCATGTACTTTACATCTGTCTTTGTATTCACGTGCTGCTTCCAAGTTGAAGTACATTTAATGATAAATACAATTTTATTGATTAGATTAGTAGTTAGTTAGAATGAGTATATATTAAAATTATAATGTATTTTGAGTTGCGGACCTTGTATGCATTTCAAAATTCTAATTTGACCCCTTGGTTTGTAAAGGTTGCCGACCCCTGCTTTAGTCTATATAAAAAAAATTAAAATAAACAAACATATTAATTGGCAAACTTCGATCGGTGAGCTATAAAGCCGAAAACCCACTCCGGAAAATGATCCGCGGATCGGATCAGATCTATTTTACCCCGAGCGATTTGAATGTCTGCTCTTCTGGAGTAAGGTTTGATCTTCTGGCAAATGGGCATTGGAGATGGACTCTGTGGGAATAAGCTGGGTCACCATAAAGGCACAATGCTTAGCCAGTTGGGGAAAATTAATGGTAATCCAGATCATGCCGGAGGCCTGACATATTTTACATGCCACTGTCATGTCTTCGTCCCTCAACTGGACCAAAAAGATTTGCAATGAGGCCATTGGGAGTCACAACTGACTGGAACTTAAAGGCATTAACCCGTTTGTGTCCATTGTAAACTTCCCTCTGGTTGTTCTTGGGCCTACAGATCGGCCTAACTGTGCCATCAATGAATCCCCAGCAGTTATCCAATGCAGCACCTCTGTTGTGGATAGCATGTGCATACATCTGCAGGTATTGTGGGGAAAGCCATGGCTGGTTCAGGTTTCTAAGCCAGTCAGCAAATGTATCATATAAAAAATTAACCACAAGGTTAGTTATCATGCAGAGTTGAGGCACGGATCTTCCAAACCTTGGTAGTAGGTCTGCATATCTGCATGGGTATGCAAAACGTTTGAGGCAAACACATAGTGCTTCAACAGGCCCCACTACCAGTGGCGCAGAGAGGGGGGGCCAGAGGGGGCAGTTTGCCCCAGGGCCTCGGCCTGAAAGGGGCCCCAAAATTATTCTGAAAATTTTTTTAAAATGTCTTTTTTTGAGAAACTGAGAATGCATTCAAAGATATATTTATTTATGTCGAAAATGATGGCAGTAATTTTATTGGGTCCGTACACTGAGTCTTGTTTGAATTTAAAGCCTATCAGCTTTATTTATTGAGTCTGGGGCCCCGAAAAAAGTTGAATAAACCTTAGATCACATACTTCACGGATCCGTCTTTTAAGCTGAGTTTCCCTGAGTTTTGCAAAATCGTACTTATTGGAAGGGAGCCCTGATAAAAAATTAGGTAACCCATATAATCTTGTTTTAATCTATGGCCCGTTCAAGTGAGTTATGTTTGCATTTAGACTCGTTGCATAAAGCTAAATTATACTTTTGGGGCCCCTTTCAGCAAACTAGCATTAATAAAGAACCGCTTACGTTCAACAATGACTCAAGACCGACTATCAAGCCTCATGACTCTTTCGATCGAGCACGAACTAGCAAGACAAATTGATTACGACAATATCATTGATCAGTTTGCAACTGAAAAGCAAGAAAAATTAACTTTTGAAAGAAGAAAGAACTGAAAAGCGTAGTTCCATGGGATTTTTTAAATAAAAGTGCGTAAAATAAAAGTTTCCTTTCATTTTAAATTTTAATATTGCGTGGCTCACCAGAAAAAAACAGTCAGAATTGAAGGAACATATTTTGAAGTATTCTTTAATCAGCTAAAAGGGTGTGGTCAAAGAGCGTATTTAAATCGCTTACCTTTAGAATTAATGCTTTTTATTACATTTTATGATATTTTAACCATATTCTATAACGTGCGCAAACGTTTGGAAATAATGGGCGTTTCCCATTTCAAAAAGGGCGTGGTCTCGAAAAAAATTTTGTATCCGACTCTAGGGCCCCAGCCAGGACTTTGCCCCAGGGCCCAGGCGGCCTCTCGGCGGCCCTGCCCACTACCACTCTATTTGAGCACTTAAAAACATCTGGAAGGTGTAAAGCAGCAGCGAGCCTAGCTATGTCTTGTTTCTTAAACCGAAACTCGACGTCACACTCGTCCTCCCGCATCCCATCCAGATTAAAACGTTCATATTTCCAATATGGAAGTCCAACATGCAAAGTTCCGTGTCTATTTGCCTCATGAAAAACAAGAAACTTGCCATCATCAATCTCCCCGTCATCGTGCATGAGAACTAACATTTCCTCCTCCATTTCCAATATAAAATCAATTTTGGCGCCTATTCTGAGTCGTCTTCATCATTCGTAACTTAAATTGAACCCGCGAAAGAGTACCCAGAATTCAACCCAATTAGTACCCAGGCCTCCATGAGCCGTCTTCACTTGAGCCGTCTCGAATCGGAAACTCTCTATTATATCGGCTTTCCTCTCAGATTTCTCTGAGGTTAATTGGGAGGCACTTGTAGCTGATGCTCAAGACATTGATGATGCAGTACGCAAGTGGACCCAAATATTTTCGCTTATTCTAGAAAAGCATGCGCCTACATTAAGAAGACGCGTGTCTGATAGATATACGCCTTGGCTGAATGCTGATTATTTCAAATTGGCTAAAACCAGAGATAAGTTAAAAACTCGAGCTGTAAAAACCAACTCAAAATTGTTGATGGAATCCTACAGGCAAATTCGTAACAGGTTAAATAACATGAATACACAACTCAAACGCGAGTATTTCTCTGAAAAATCACGCAGTTTCAAGGTGACCCCAAGAAAACTTGGAAAACCATCAACCAAGTCATTAACAAAAAGTCGAAAACTACAGTTGTGCCTAACCTTACTGTAGACGGGCAAACAATTAGGGGTAACAAAGCAATTGCATCTTCAATGAATGAGTACTTCTGCAGCATTGGGAATAAACTTAGTGAGAAAATTCCAAAGAAAGCCAATCCACTCTTGTCTGGTGAATACCCGTTTGAAACTCCTCCATTAAGTTTTTCTTTTTCGGCCATCATGGCAGATAAATTATCATCAACCTTGAATAAGATGAAGACATCGCATGATTCAGGTCACGATGGCATTGCGAGCTTTTATTTGAAGATTGCTTTGTCAGTTGTTGGTGGGTCCTTGTGTGATCTCTTCAATAAATCATTGTTTGCAGGAAAATTTCCGGAGGACTGGAAAATAGCGCGTATTGCACCCATCTTCAAGAGTGGCGCAAAGGATGACAGATCGAACTATAGACCAATATCAGTTCTTCCTTTCATATCTAGGCTATTTGAGAAATTAATTTTCAATCAGTTTTATGGATACCTGGATGCGAATAAATCACTATATGAGCATCAGTCGGGTTTTCGACTCTTACACTCGGTAGCCACAGCCCTTCTAGCTAGCACCAATGATTGGTACCTGAATATAGATAAAGGAAAATACACTGGTCTAGTCTTTAATGACTTGAAGAAGGCTTTCGACACGGTCGATCATAAAATCCTACTGGAAAAAATGAATATGTACGGAGTGACCGGCCTGGAACATGACTGGTTCACATCATATTTGGAAAATCGTAAACAATTCTGCAGGGTGGATGGCACCTCCTCTGATGTGAGGGGAATAAATTGTGGAGTTCCCCAAGGCTCTTGTCTTGGTCCACTCTTGTTCCTGATTTACATCAATGATTTGCCTTTTTCCTTGCAAAAATCTCATGTCAGCATGTATGCTGATGACACGGCCATTTCCCTCTCTTCAAAAAGTATTGGTGACCTTCAAAATGACCTAAACTTAGATCTTTTGAAACTACAGGATTGGCTGCATGCAAATAAACTTTCCTTTAACGTAGTGAAAACGCAGTCGCTTGTTATAGGCTCTGGTCCAAACATCCGTAAGATCGAAAGCCAGCCTGATGCTCCACCATCTTTTTCTTTTTCAATAGGTGATCAGAACATTGAAATGATCACCAACACAAGATACAAGGTGTTCAGATAGACAGTAAGCTCAACTGGGACAAGCATATCGATACTATCAAGACCAAGGCTAATCGAGCCCTTGGACTTATTAAGTATTCTAAGAAATATCTTCCATCTGACATCCTCATCAAAATGTATAGAGGAATTGTTGAGCCCCATTTGAGCTACTGTTGTTCCGTTTGGGGCTGCTGTAATGAATCAAAGCTTGACGTGTTGCAAAAAATCCAAAATAGAGCTGCCAGAATTGTAACTAGCAGCCCATACGATGCGTCTGCTGCTCCGATAATTCAGAATCTTGGCTGGTTAACCATCAGAAATCTTGTAAGAAAGGAGACAGCCACGCTAACTTACAAATCTCTAAATATGCTTGCACCAGACTATTTGAGAAAATTATTCGAAAAATGTTCGGATGATAGAGAACGGTTTCTGCGTTCATCAGAAACTGATCTTAAGATACCGCTGCTAAAAACAATAAATGGCCAAAAGGCTTTTTCTTATCGCGGTCCAAAACTGTGGAATAATCTAGAAAGGCCTACCAAATTGGCCCCCTCCCTGAAAACCTTCAAAGAACAACTATAGTCGGGGACAACTTTTATTTCATCTTTACGTTCACTTTTTATAGCCTTAGTATTATTAGATATTGTAAATTAGGTTTGATTGGTAAACGATTGGTCTTTTGTTACTAGTATTTTAACATAGTTATTAGCTCTTATTTTATTCTTTTAAACAGGTCAGGTTGAAAAACATATGTATGAACCTTTAACCTGTATAAATATTATAAAATAAAAATAAAATAAATAAAAAATTGACATGGGATTCTCACCTTATGACGCAAGTGCTCTATTGTTTAAAGGTGAACTGACACGCAAAACTATTTTTTGATATAATGCAGAAAGCGATGCATAGAATCTTAATTTTAAGTTTTCGGTTAATTATCACTGTCCGTTTTGACGCAATTCCGCTCTAAATGTCATGAAATTATCGTCGAGTGTTAGACCATTGTCGGCATTTCATGTGACCCAGTGCGTGTGACGTCACAAACACCATGTTTCATTCCTTGAATGGAAATCACGCACGGACTGGACAGTTCAGTCCATCTTGTTCAGGAGATCTACGTAGCCTTTGATCCAAGATACATGAAAATTCGAGGTTAATGAAATGTACGAAGGATATGATTTTATCGTGAACATCAATATGGATTTCAAATAAATAAATCAATTACATCAGCAATTATGGAGCTT